AAACGCGAGAGAGGATCTTTGCATTGTGTGTTTGTGTGTGTGCATCTGTCTGAAGCCAGAGTGTATGTTTGTTTACCACTGTGGCTACGATCATGACTGCTGTTACCCGGCTTTGATGCCAGATGCTTTCCAAATATGTTCCACATAAAAGGGCTCATTACGAGAGAGTGAGAGACGTAAGTAGTCAGGGCTATATTCATGAATGCAGGGCCAGCTCAGAGATTATTCAGTGTCAGTCCCGGTGAACGAGGAGATATCTCTATTTGCAAAGGTACTTTACATTGCAACTTGTGGGGGGGAATGAGTTTTAGAGATAGGGTCCATTTTGTATGGAATCTCAGGGGAGAAAAATCAATGATATTACTAAAATAAGAGCACAATGAAAGTAGGTTACTCGTTCACTTTAGAGCGACGTTTAATCCAATTGCTCTGTGCAATGAATTGTTTTCACGTGGCCAAACTGGCGATGGTTCCAGCCCGCGCTTCTTTGTCGACTTCACAGAGGATTCTAATATAAGGTAACACTGAATGACAGCAGCAAAGGTGTAATTAATTCAATGCTTTGTTGGCTGATTCATTTGGTGCGGTTTAACATGCAGTCGGGGTGGAGTGGTAGTGCAGTGGTTATCGCACTGCGGTACGAACCCGGCCACCCAAGTTTGATTCCCCGCCACAGCTAATATCAGTGGTGGGTGGTATCTGAACCAATACATCAGTCCACTCCTTTACCAACCTCTACTGACCAGCGCGATGGAGTATGGTCAAATAATCCCCACGACGAACACAGCGTAGGGAGACATTCAGCAGTTAATTGATTAAAGAGTTTAAAGGTGTCTGTAATTTATCTCTAAATAAATATTGGATTATGGCTGCGAAGCTTTGTCTGCCATCACTTCCACACCGTTTTACCAATTCACACAGGCACAGCGATGTAATAACACTTTGGAGGTGGATTTGCTGGATCATGCACAGACATTCATTCATGAGTTGTGGGACTTACAATCTGCTTGGCTGTGATGTGGCACTACATCAACTTGGTTGGTGATAATAGGGTTTTCCCCTTTTCTTCTGGCAACAAAACAGGTGTTAAGATGTTAAAACACCAAACTGAAACTTTTTACAAGGACTCATGTCTGCATCAACCACAATGCGTGTGGTCAGAATGCAAACAAAACATACTCTGATAATATGATGCATTGTCCTGGAAACTAATTGGTCCACAACAGAGACAGCTTTCTTTTGAGCCTCGTCTCAAACGGTGTTAGACCAGAGGACGCCAAAAGGCGTACACAGCACAAAGACAATGCCACTATCAGAGTAATGAGAGCTCGGGGTTGAGCATCTACATCATGGGACCTCCTTTGCCAGTACCAAAATATGATAATAGGTTGTTCCCCTTTTTTACCAGAAAAAAGGTGAAAACCCTATTATCATATGTTGGTACTGGCAAAGGAGGTCCCATGATGAAGTTGGTTGGTGCCGCACATGTCTGTGCCAATCTTGAGAGTTAATCTCTCACATATATACGGACTTTTCTAAGCGATCTAATTTGAAATCATGAAAACATAAAAACTCAATGAGTGGCAAATATCCAAATCGTGGCCCTCATGAAGGGCGGTGGAGACTCAATGAGGCTTTGCAACTGCTCACTCGTGCCACTGTTTGCCAAAGGGCCTCCACTAGAGGGAGCTCTAAAGACTCCCTAGAGGTGGTGTTTGACCTCTTCAAAGTTAGCCACACAACATGGAAGAGGTGGGAGTGCCCAAACTTTACCCTACCGCATGCCACCTGCAGATGTCATGACTGGTGTATCCAGTTGTACTGCTGGGCGGACAAAAGCAATGGGATTTACGAAATGTGGACCAGTGTTTCAACTACCACAATTGAACTGGCGGCTTCTGTATTGCAAGCCCAGTCTGCTAACCCACTACACCAGGGCAGCATTCCATAAGATACATATTTTTGTCATTAATATATTTTTCTTGGGGCGGGGGGGTGGGGGAGGTTGAAGCAACACTGAGATGTGGTGCATCTGTGGTTTAATTAAACTACTGCTTTGCTGCTTTGCCCTAGGAAAACCATTTATCAAGCAGCATGGAAAGTTTTTTTTTTTCCGTGAAATTATTTATACAAACTACTTGGGGCTGAATCAGTGGTGCAGTGATGAATACATTTCATTGTGAAGCCACGGCTAACATCAGTGGGGAGTGATATCTGGACAACTACAGGGCAGCCACCTGCACCAACCCACACTGACCAATGTGGTGAAATATGGTCAAACAACCAGCATGACCAACACGAAATGGGGGAAGGCCCTCATCCAGCAGTGGATTTACAAAGGGCTGTAAATTATATATGTGTGTGTATACGTAGCAGTTGTGCGGAGGATGGCTATACAGTAAGTCCCAGGGTGCTGTGGACTCGCCTCCCCATCAACAAGAAGTGGGGAATGATTGTGGTGTTCAGGCTATACGGGCTATATTTTGTCTTTGTTAGTAGTTGCGAAGCCACCAATGGGCTGCCATTATGATTGTTCCTCCAGGTGTTGCGATCAATCCCCCATGGCCAGGCCTCCTGAAGAGGCCCCGTGCCTGCGTCCAGTGTGATCTCTGAGCACCAGGTTGAGCGTACGGTCGAGTTTCGTTCCAGATCTGATTTTGCTAAAATTTCTGAAATTTGGCACAATTAGAGTCGAATGTTTATTTCTTTAACTCGTGGGTCAAGCTCCTAATCATGGGTCAGGGTCATGCTCATAGTGCAGGCAGGCTCATCCTCAAGTTCTGCATATTGAATCAAGTCTCAGGCTAAACACTTACACGCGTCATCAGCAGTAAAGCCAACGTCTCCCTTTGAGTGTGACGCTCAAGCCAACAGAAAGTGTGCGAAGCCTGCTACTGGTTACTAATATTAACGTTTACTACGCTTGGACAATGCTGTACTGTGCCATGTTTGCAGGCCTGGTTGATTGCTGATCTGCAAGCAACGGCTGCTTCTGTCTTCATATCAACGCAACTGCTGCTAATAGGCCTCCATTTTCAACGTCCTTTGTTTTAAATAAATGTTCACATTTGTCATCATCATCGTCGTCAGTTATGTTCAATCCACTGCTGGACAAAAGGCCCCCCCAAAATGTCGCCATCCCTCACGATCCTTCGATGTACCAATCCACTGAGCCACTTGCACACTATTGAGTTGCTCCATCTCCTTCGTGGGCATTCTCCCTTCCTCCCTCTCTCGGATGCGTTCCATCCCTTGGCTGCCACTCTGTCATTATTGTTGACCGTCAGTCGTCATCCGTTCCAGGCACGTGTACTGCTCAAGTTCACCTGCGTTTCTTAACAGTTACAGTTGTGTCTTTTACCAGCGTACGTTCTCTCCAATCAGTGGCTCTTGGGCAAAAGGAACCTGTCTGTTTAGTTACCGGTCCTCTGGCAGTTCACCTTCATTGGTTAAAGCAAGCCTGGCCCTGCTGATGAGACACTACATGTCAAAAACCGGACCATAGATTGGTGGTGTTGAACCAATACTGTGGAAATTATGCATTAACAGAGAACCGTGCGGCCGATGGGATGAGTAATTTTTTAGTTTAAATGTAGAATGACATTTGCGAACGAGGCATTTTGTCAGCTTATTTGTGTTGATGTTTGTATTCTCCACAACGAAGCTAATGATTCGTTTCTGCCATCTAAAACGTGGTCTGTCAAACCATTCTCTCAGGGCACCTCCAAGCTCACGCGATTGCGTCTCCGTCTGCCTTTGAGAAAAAAAAAGGAAACCAGATGATTTTACTGTCGGCCTTAACCCGCCACTTGAATGGCGGGTTAAAGACATTCATTATTCCCGCACGCCTTTCACCCCTTTGATGGGTTTCACGATTGCTGAACCGTAAGCTGGACAAAGGCGTGTGTAATGATGACTAACAAGCGAGCATCTATAGAAGCAAAGACAAAGATCCCCCATATCGCACATACAGACTGTTGGGGCGAGTGCTGTTAGGAAGCGCTTATTAAGGCCAGAACGGCACGTGACGCTTTTGTCTCCAAGGTTTCTGATGTGTACACACGCACCAGATACTTGTTTAAGGTTGAGTCGGCCTAGGTGGAGCATTTGGACCGGTTCAGATATCCAGGTGACAAATTGGCACACACACACACAAAGAAACACATTGTTAATGACGCGCAAATCGTAAGGAAATGCGCGCGCAGAACATAAAAGCCCGTGTGTGTGTGTGTGTCGTGAGTGATTTTTGAATCATATTCTCCAAATGTGATGGGATGGTAGGTGGTAAAACACGCACACACACGCAGGGGTTGGGAATGAGGGTAGGGTGGGAGGGAAAGAGGATACATAGGGGGAGGGCGAGGGATTAGAACACAAATACAAAGACTCCCCGTATAACCTTAATAGACTGGTGGGACAAGTGCTGTTAGCGAGTAGCAGCACCTATGACTGAACAAAGACAAAGATCCCCCCTAAAGACTTAACAGACTGTTGGGACAATTTTAATTTTTGAATAATTTGAATCTAGAATTGTTGGGACAAGTGCTGTTAGCGAGCACATATGAAGTCCGGCACGGCACACAAGGGGTGGGTGGCAAGCACCACGCCCGGCCGCCTTTGTCTCCCGGGTGGCGATGTTTTTTCTTAGGCACCGCACCAGGTAATAATTTGAGTCTGAGTCGACCTAGCAGAGAGGCCCAGGACCGGTTCAGATAATCGTCACCGGTTGTCGGCCGTGAGCGGGAATCTAACTCGGGTTGCTGGGTTCGTAGCGCAGCGTAGCGCTACCTGCTACACTACCGCACCCCACACACAAGCGCGCACACACATACACACACGTACACACTCATAGACACACACAAACGCGCACACACAGGGGCTGGGGAAGGGGCACAATGCAAAGAGGAGCGATAGGAGGGGTGGGCGAGGAGTCAGAGCACACACCAGGGGGGGTGGGTGCGGGGAGGGTGGGGAAGACGACACGGTGACTGGCCGTGTCGTTTATTTTTTTTTAACGCGCGTGCCGGAGTGTGGACCAACAGCTTAAATAAGACTGCGCCATCTCCCCGTGAGACGGCGAGCGGACTGCGAGGTGAGCTGGAGGCTGCTGACACGGCGCGGCGCGGCACGCGACTGCCTCTATAAATACCACGCTGGCTTCAGCGAGGGTGGCTACTGCCGCCGGACGCACCGCAAAGTAAGAAGAGTCTTCTTGTTCCACGCAGCCGAGCAACCAAGCTCTGCGCCTGCTGTTGTCCCTGCACCAACTTCTCTCTCCTACTGCCTCTCTCTCTCTCGCTGTCTCTCCGTGTGTGCGTCTGCAAGGTACGAATTTGTGATGGTGATCGTGACGGTTGTGATGCACTCCCGCGGCGTTTATCTTAATTTGTTAATTGCGCAATTCACGTGGGTTTTGGCGGGTCTCGCTGGAAATCGTCCACTTCGTTGTAGCACGCGGCAAATGAAGGGGACAGGCTCGTGTTGCGTGTTGTGTGTTTCTATAATCATTCTCGAACAGGGCGCAGAGGAGGGTGATCCTGCCGCTGGTGACGCTGGTGGTGGTGTGTACGACTTTCCCTAACACGCTTTTAATTTTAATTTTTTTCCCCCCAAAGCACCGGCAGCGTTTATCGACCTGAAAACGTGTTTGGGACAAAGCGCCGCCGGTTTTGATTATAGGATTTGCATAATTATATAACGTTGCGTCAAAAACAAAACGGTGCCGGATGATGTGCGTGGTATTCAAGAGTGACTCTTTGCAGGTGCGCGTGGAGGGGGATTTTTGGAACGAGTGCTGTTTACTCAAAGAGCAAAATGTGAATCTGCTGCTTGACATTTATTTTCGTATTAAATATCACGCACGCGCGTGTTTAAGCAATTAAATAATTGACAACGAACTTAACAACATCACTTTTACACCATTACGATACAGAATGTACGATATTGGACCAGAAATTCATTGATAAATGCATACGCGTGAGTCTGCGTTGATTCCACAGAGCTGAGTGCGCGTGTGAGCGCGCGCGTGTGCGTCAGTGAACTAATTATCGTTCGTGAACACGCAATGTGATTGGTCACAAAAAAAGCCCAAATTAGAGAGGACAGGTCATTGAGATACACGGTCAAAGGGCATGAGCCCAAGCCCTATTGTAATGGATTCATTCAGTATCATTAGCAGGGGCAATGGGGGGGGGGGAATCGTAAATTCCGCATGGTGGAACAAATGCCCCCCTAAAGATAGACGTGGGACCTTTTATTGAACGCATAAAAGAGTAGCCCTATACGAACGTTCTTAACCACGTGATGTAAATCTATGTTGCATGGCTGCATTTTATAAATTGCCAACGCTTTGTCGAATGTCATCGGTGATATCCCGTATGCAAAAATGGGTCACGCGCACAGCAGATGCACAGCTAAAGCACCGACCAACATGGGACAATGCACTTTGCATTTAATACTCATCGTTGTCACTTGAAGGACACACATGTTTACAATGGGACATGTAAATACATATATATGACATAATTTACAGGAGATTCATGTGAAAAATATATTGCAAATGTACCACCTTCATGTTGCGCTTCGCTGGACCGTCAATCAGTAGGCACCTGGATTTTATATTAGCCCCGAAACCTTGGGTCATTTCCTTCACCCATTGGCTTCGAAATTCATCCACCCAGTACTTTTCCGTTCTGCACAGCAGTAAATTGAGGGGTGGGGTAAAACATGGGTGTCTGTCTCTTTCTTTTTTTTCAAAACCCCATCCGTTCAACGTGTAATGATGGCTCGAGTTAAAGCGTAGTGTATCCTGTTGTCAAGCGTCGTCGTCCACATCGACACGAGTTGATTGATTTGAATGGCTTAGAGCCATTACCCTCCTGCTAATAGACGAGGCAACGGTGTTTTTCTTTGACCCCTTTACAGGGTTAAAATATTAAACGAAGTTTGTACTGCGGCAGTGTCTACACGTAATGTTATGTTGGCCCGTATAGTGTGGCTCTTGTGAGCGCTAGCTCTTCCCGTGTGTGGGGTTTCTCTGACTACTCCGGTTTGTCCTCGACTCATTATGAAAAATCAAATTTTTTTAAATATATAAACAATGAGGCGACGCTATTTTGGCGGTTCTGAGCCAGTGTTGGAAATTCCACATTCCAATGACGAGCGATGTCGTCTCCTTACGCCGACCCCTTTCATTTACTTCCACGGCAATATAATAGCCTGTCAATCCTGCGACGACCAGATTCTGATTTAATATCATACGCGCTGGATGATGACGAAGGCGTGATTTTGAATTTTAAGAGGCCTCTTGCTACCGCTGCTGCGATTGTCTTTGTTGGCCGTTGGTCCATCGTCCGAACGCATTGCTCCAAAATGCGCTCTCGGAATCGTGTCGCGAGACAAAGAATCCACGACGAGACACCAGCCGAGACCGGTGCGGCACCCCATGTCACAGATGACGGGGCTTGTGATCCTTTACACAGTTTGGGGGCGCGCTTGCCCGCCACGCCGCTGCACGCTGCCAATATACGATGGGCAGGCAGAGAGTGGGTTTCTTGCGCAGACATTGACGTCAACACGCCGGCACTCGCTTTGTATCACGGGTGACGGCTCAGTCGCCCCCGACCTCTGAGCCACCCGGCACCTGGACCTGCGTTTGCAAAAAAAACATACACCTGGGAGGTTTGTTGGCGACTGTGGAATGAAGGCGACTATTTGTGAGTGTGATGACATCGAAGGGAAATGTCGTTATGATATCCTGACCTGAGCCGGCCGTGTGATCCAGCTCTTTGGATAGTCAAGGTTGGTGGGTCACCCACAATCTGTGGAACTTAAAATAATAATATTCAGTTGCTCGCTAGCTGGCCAGGAGATGGCAGTGCAAGAAGTGGGTTCGTGATCCCGTCTGTGTGAACTTACATGGGGAGCGGTAGTGTAGCGGTTAGTGCGCTGCGCTACGAACCCGGCGACCCGAGTTCGATTCCCGCTCACGGCCAACGCTGATGACGATTATTTGAACCGGTCCTGCGCCTCCCCTAGGTCGACTCAGCCTCAAATGAGTACCGAATACGATGTGTAAACATCGCCACTAGGGAGACAAAGGCGGCCGGGCGTGGTGCTGGCCACCCACCACATCGTGTGCCGTGCCGGACTTCATAGGTGCTCACTAACAGCACTTGCCCCAAACAGTCTGTTAAGGCTATACGGGGGATCTTTGTATTTGTCCCCAAGTGTTCCGGTTTCCTCCCACACGAAACAATCCCCTTGTTTGGCCCAAGGAGCGAAACTTCAGACATCACGACGAACAACTTAAAATTACATCGGGGAGCTATACCACATACCGGCGAAACCCTTCGCAGCGGCGAAACCTACGCAGAAAGCAAACACGACAATTTCTTTAAACATTTTAGAACAAAATTAATAGGAGCACGGATTCCTATGCAGCAATGTTGACTCAAGCTTTCTTGGGAAAAATACATGTGATCATCAGGGCTTAATTGCAACCGGATCTACAGAAGAAAAGTAATATTTATGCAGTCCCCACTCTCCCTTAACACTCGGGAAATGGGTTTTGGAGAGTCCTGGAAAACATCTACACCGCACTGTACTACATGATGAATTAACCCATGGGCTTCAATACCATCACATATATAAATTCCAGGTGCATTTTTTTATTGTTATTCTGATTGCCTCCAACTGGATGGTAGCCTTAAGGTGCACCAAGCCTGGAATTCTGCCCAGTTGTGCCCATTATAAGGCTGAACCAGACCCAACACGTGCGTGCCAAATGGTGACAAAACCGATCACAACGGGAGGATGCTTGCGGGCGAGCAAACCGATTGCGTTCGTTCATGCAGAACATTCTCCCGGTTGAATCTGAAGACTTTTTTTAATGGAGCATTTCACAGCCGGGGGGGCGGGGGTGAAATTATATTACTACGAGTAATCTCATTTGAGTAAGTTGCAGATAACTTTGACGCTTGGGTTAATATCAGTTAACAATCAAGTGTGTACGATTGTTATGTTCAGTGTGTGTTTATATCCGAGGGTGACTGCATCGTGCGCTTTCAGAGGCGCTTCTGAGGCCGTCAGGAACGCTCCTCCGTTCCGATATCCGGAAGCCACTGGAGCATGTGCAAATTTTAATCTCGATTTAAAAACTCATCTCTTTAGAACTGATGTTTCTATTTAGTGTTGTTGTCCTGCCCCCCCCATTCCTCCGATTAGCGCGGTCGGCTACGTACGATGCGAAAGAAGTTCAACCGTACACAACAGATGTATGTTTTGATTTAAAGCTTTCGTGACTGCAGTAATTCATATTCTTAGTTTTTTCGGTAAAGTCACGTTGAAGAGAAACAACAAAATAATAAAATATATAACAATAAAAAAAATTCTCACGACGTTTTGACCATAACTCAAACGGTCGTCTGAAGACGTCTTCAGATATGGTCGAAACGTCGTGAGAATTTTTTTTATTGTTTTATATATATTTTATTATTTTGTTGTTTCTCTTCAACGTGACTTTACCGAAAAAACTAAGAATAAGATGTATGTTTGTTGTTGTTGTTGTTGACTCTGCCGCTTCACCCCCCGCCGTGCGTGCTGCTTGATGGGTGCAGGGGTGGAGGGGAAGGACGCAGGAGGAGCAGGAGTGGTGCGAGCGAGACAGCGGCGAGGGGCGATGGCTGCAGGGTCGTCGCTGCTGCTGCTGCTGCTGCAGCTGCTGCTGCTGCTGGTGGTGGCCACCACGACGTCGGCGCGCGTGGGCACCGATTGTCGCGCTCGATGCGCGCAGTGCGGAGACGACACTCGCCCCGGGGACGCGCTGCGCGCCACGGTGAGAGAGGGGCACACGCGGGATCGATATTTGTTTCTTTGAGTTTGTTTTTTTTCTCTAGGTTCTTTTGGTGGGTTCGATCATCGCGTAAATATGCACTGTGTGTACTCTTTTGGTTCTATTCGGTAAAGTCGCGTGAAAGTATAAAACAACAAAAATATAAAAAAATATATAAAAATTCACGACGTTTCGGCCGCAACACAAGTGGCCTTCATCAGCTGAAGGGACCATACTGTCTCGAGGACAGCGCTGGAGTGAAATAATAATAAAATATGCAGTGTGTCTTGATTTGAAGCTTTCGTGACTGGCTGTAATCCATACTCTCTGATTTTTTTTCGGTAAAGTCACGTAGGTAGAAAAAATAATTAACGAAACACGACGTTTCGGACGGACGCTTGTGTTGCGACCGAAACGTCGTGTTTCCTTTCATTATTTGTTCTATCTACGGGGCTTTGCCGAAAGAACAAGAGAGTATGCAATGTGTCGTTAAAATCGCCACCACCCGACGCAGCCAAATTGGTTAGGTTTTGCCGCGTAAACACAACGTGCCAATAAGTTACTGTGAACTTAACTGGACATGTGTGAACAAAAAGAGCTTTATAGCTCATCGGATTCCTCTGGGATAAATTAATACTCTGACTCTGACGACCTCCGCGCTCAGTGCTCATCGTAGAGTGCGGGGTGGGGGGTGGGGGTTGGGGGGGGGAGGGGTTGCGGATCGCGGTATGGAACCCGGTGAGCCCCAGTTCGACTCCCGCTCACGGCCACCACCAGACACCAGTGACGAGTATTGGGGAGTCGTCTCCTGGGTCGACTCAGCCTCGAGTGAGCACCGCACCTGCGCTGCGGCGTGTCATCATCGCCGCCACGGAGGGAGACGGAGGCGGTGTGGACTTGTTTCAGGCCACGCGATCCCCCCGTTCTGTGCGTTGCTGCTCACTCGCACAGCACTCGTCCCAAAAGTGCGTTGAGGCTATACGGGTGATCTTTGTATTTGCAAAGCGGTATGTACGTAACCGTATATAGAAAACTACACATTCGTTAATTCTCTCACAATATTTATATACGTTTATCGGGTGGTAGGGTGGCGCTTGTGCCTCAGCATGAAGGGGCTCCTAGGTTCGATCCCAGACTCGGGTGCTGTTCCTGGGCCTCCCCGTGCCATGCGGCTGTCGGAGGACATTTGACCATACTTCCCCGCGCTGGTCAGTGCCAAATTGGTGAAGGCTGGGAGCAGAGACACGGACGCATAGAAGCACAGCACAACTATGCATGTTTCTGCACTGCACACTACGAAGCGCTGCAGCAGCAGCAGCAGCAGCCATGGTCAATCCACTGCTGGATGAAAAGCCTCCTTAAGCCGCTGCCACGCTTCGCGATCCTGCGATGCAATGAATGCCACACGATCTGATTGCACATACAGTACACATATACTGTAGACTGATGACACATACCGTGTACCCAGACTAACGCATATAAACGCACGTACAAGGTATACAGCCTAACACGTGTATGCGGGACTGAAGTCGAAGACATATCCCGATTAGACTTGCAGGCTGTCGGGGTAAGGTGGTCTGGCCAGCAGCAAGCCTGGCCACCTTTGTCTCCCCAGTGCTGCGATTTGCGCACCGCAACAGATACTCGAGTAAGGCTAAGTCGACCCAACCCAGGTTTATTGTTATTCCAATGGGGGGCCCCTGGACCGGTTCAGATATTCGCCAATGATGTGAGCCATGGCCGTTGAGTCGAACTCAGGATAGCCAGGTTTTGTATCGCAAACTGCGCAAATGACTGCTCCATCACCCTACTCTATGGGAACACACACACACACACAAAGACATACACATATATACTAACACGCATACATATATACAAGCACACAAATACTAACATACACGTGCAGTATACACTGATGGATATATACGGTACACTAATACGCGTGTATGCTGTATACTGTATATATATACACAGTATATTCACACGCATGGATACTGGGTGAGAGCCTCGCCAGGTCGTGGGGGTCTGACCATACTTCACCACGCTGATCAGTTCCAATTGGTGAAGGCGTGGAACATGCACATTACCTGGGAGCATAGCAGTGCAGCATAACAACAGATGTATCTGCACTGGCAGCTGATGCCTGCTGATGGAACTCCGCAAGCCAATAACAACGGTGATGAGTGGTGGTTGACCATCTAAAACGCCATCGTGTAGGCTCAACCCCGATTTAGTTTGCGAAATGGGAGATGAAATCAGAGGCGACACACGGACAGACCCCGTGCGCCGTCACTCATAATCATCGTATCACCGTCATCATCATCAAAGACAAAGATCCACCGTGTAGCTTTAACAAACTGTTGGGGCAAATGCTGTTAGCGAGCAGCACCTATGAAGGCCGGCACGGCAGACGAGCGAGTGGGTGACCAACACCACGCCCGGCCGCCTTTGTCTCCCCAGTGGCGATGTTTACACACCGCAACATGTACTCATTCGAGGCTGAGTCGATCTAGGGGAGGCCCAGGACCGGTTCAAATTATCGTCACTGGGTGTTGGCCGTGAGCGGGAATCGAACTCGGGTCGCCTGATTCGTTGCGCAGCGCGCTAACCGCTCCACCACCGCTCCCCACAACCATCATAATCACCAGCTGGAGCAATACCGGCAGCAGTAATATGCGAAATGCAAATCTCATGAATCGTCATTATCAGTGTCCTCATCATCATCAGCAGCAGCAGCAGGGTATTTAATGTTACATAATGTGTCATCGATTCATCAGTAGCAGCAGCAGCGGTAATAATCTTCGTGTGACAATACCCTCATGTATCATCGGCAGCCTCGTCATCTGCAGAAGCGCGCTTGATGTTTATTCGTCATCATCGTCAGCTCCGGTGTCTGGTATCGAGTGTCGTCGTCACAACGAGCAGTCGCAGAGCAGTTTATTGTTCTTCAACATCACGTTTCATCTTCATGACGCTTCATTGTCGTTGATGACCGTTATACCAAATCGTGCCTCGCCTTCACAAATTGCAATGCATTATACAGTAATTTTCTTTCATCGCCACGCTAAATCACAATGCTAATCATCGTCCATCATTCCATGTCCATTGCAATAATTACTCCTGCCATCATTGTACCCAGTGCTTAATTGCCGCTGAAACAATGGGGGCGTCTCGGTGGCGAGATGTTAACTACCTCGCCTGGTATGGAGGAGGTTGTGGGTTCGGAGGAGGTTGTGGGTATGGAGGAGGTTGTGGGTTCGACCCCGACGCCTGTTTATTTCGAGTTTGCGTATCTCTGCCCCCGTGGTCGCGTGCAAATTTTTATTCGGCTTCTCCAGGTTTTCCCTGCACATTTGGAAGCATGCGTTTAAACGGTACTTGACTGTTATATAGATTTAAAAAAATTCCACGTGGTAAGCCCACTTCGTTGAGCTATTATTTGTGATAGCCATGCAGGCCGCTTCTGAACAAAGAGCTCCTACATAGATCAGTGGGGCCTTACCTGGTCAAATAAAAACATATTTTTTTTGTATTTCGGACAAACGCTGTTCTGGGCAATTCTTTGTTGTGACGCCAAATCCATGTCGCCTTGCTCTGCGTCTCCCGTGATGTGAACCTGCTCACAGAATTATAGAATTACTATATATATAGGGTACCGTGAATATATACTGTTGAGTTATAATGGGAAGTCGTCTTCCGTGAACTCTCGTTGTAGTTCCTGCCTTCCCCCGGCGATAGTCCCACTCCTCCAGGGCTGCCTTGCAACGTTCCGCAATATATCGAGCGAGAAGTTAAGCGCTGATTATATCAATTACCGCCCCCAGCCGACTCCACGTATGCACAATCGTCGTCGCAACGAGTATCCGTTCGGTATTCTATAGCCTGCCACAAATCAATTGGACGGGAATAATTAACGTGGGGTTCCAGAAATAGACGCGTCAATGGGTTAACGACGCTGCGTCAACGTCCGCTTGCGAAGTCGCTGCGTTCTCTACCCCGCGTTGATTAATTCGCGAACGCGTGCTTGGCACATCCATTCAGAACCAGTGCGTGTGTATTCTGTATGCGTGTACATACAGACCTTAAACAAAACAAAAGCTCTGCGTTTGTCTAAATGCTTCCCTCTCGTCGTGTCGATGCTCCTGGTTGATTGTTTGACCATACTTCCCCATGCTGGTCAGTGCGGGTACGTAAGGGGGCGGGGGCGAGATGATTCCCATATTCATTTCGCCCATGGCAAAATACGCACGGAAGACGCGCGGCGTGAGTTGACCTGTTGAGTGTGATTTGCGCGATATAATTGTGTGTCGGCAACACACACACACATAAATACACACGCGCGCTGCTCACAGCTATATCGTTGTACCGGAGGTGGGGTGGGGGGCTGCTCTTAAACCTCTGCACTTTTGCGAACAGCCTTCCTTGAGCGCTTATGATAATGAGACACTTTATTGCAACAGCGTTATCAGCGTCATCCACGTGGCTCCGCTGGCCACTGCATCTGTCACTGATGCGCTCCGTGCTGCAACGCCAGTAACGCCAGCGTGCATACATTCAGTGGGGAGCCGTGACGCAGCCACACCTGTCGAACCACACCGTTTAGCCCGTGATTTTGTGCAGGGAGATTGCGTTTTCAGGTCCATGCGGGGCGGACGGTCGTTTCAACGCGGGCACATTTTTTCGTCTGTTTGTGTTTCTACCCTGTGATGGGACTTTGTAGGTTGAACGTTGAGATTTTTAAGGGCCACGGGGGTGATCAATCAGCTCTGAACTGGTCTGTAATAAGGTAGGACACTAATAATAGGGCTTTTCCCCTTTTTTCAGGCAACAAAACTGAAACCTTTTTACGAGGAATAATGTCTGCATTAACCACAATACTTGTGGTCAAAATGCAAACAAAAAAGACACTATTATAATATATGATGCATTCTCCTTGAAACTGATTGGTCCACACGAGGGACGGCTTTCTTTTGAGCCTCGGCCCAATTGGTGCTAGACCAGAGGACGCCAATTGGGTCGAGGCTCAAAAGAAAGCCGTCCCTGGTGTGGACCAATCAGTTACAAGGACAGTGTACACATTATCATAGTGTGTTTTTTGTTTGCATTTTGACCACAATTATTGTGGTTAATGCAGACATGATTCCTTGTAAAAGGTTTCAGTTTTGTTGCCATAAAAAAATGGAAAAAACCCTATTATATTTTGGTACTGGCAAAGGAGGTCTAATGAGGTAGGACACTGGCAAGGGGTTAACAGGTACGCACAGCGCTTAGCGCACTTGCACGACCACCCCTGCCACCTGGGTTCGATTGCCCGTCAAATACGTCATCAGAAGGAGGTGGTTAATGGATTTCTCTGTGTCGGGTCTCTCCTAGATCGACTCAGCCACAAATATACTGGGGGAAACACTGTCCCGTCGTATACCCTGCTATGTCGGCCTGAGCAGCTGCTCAATAATAACAATTTCTCAATCCGGTCCAGAATGTTACATCGGCGGTCTTTGTCAGTGGATGTCTCTGTGTATGTCTCTGTGTGTGTGTGGTTGTCTCTCTCTCTGTGTCTCACTCTCTCTGCATGTGTTTTTTTTTATTTTGGTGGGGAGCGATGGTGCAGCGGTTAGCGCTACGCTGCGCTATGAACCTGGCGACTCGGGTTCGATTCCCGTTCACGGCCAACACCAGTGACGATTATCTGAACCGGTCCCGGGCCTCCCCTAGGTCAACTCAGCCTCAAAAGAATACCTGGTGCGGTGTGTAAACATTGCCACTAGGGAGACAAAGGCGGTCGGGCGTGGTGCTGGCCGCCCACCCCCTCATGTACCGATCCGGCCTTCATAGGTGCTCGCTAACAGCACTTGCCCCTACAGTTTGTTAAGGCTATACGGGGGATCTTTGTCTTTTGTTGTCTCTCCCCCATGTGTCTCTCTCTCTGTGTGTCTCTCTCCGTGTGTTTGTCTCTCTCTCTGTGTATGTGTCTCTCTCCGTGTCTGTGTCTCTCTCCGTGTCTCTCTCCGAGCTTGCATTCATTCATGCCTGATGACGGTTTATTGTGTTGCAATCGAAACTTCGTATTCTATTACTTATTTTATTTGATTTCTACGTGACTTTACCGAAAGAACAAAAGAGTAGAATATGACTATTGACTTATATAATCAGAAGGCTTGGCGTTACAAATTCTCAGCGCTGTGTCCATCCGAGGCCGATAAAATCAAAATTGGTCATCTTTTGGGCTGACTGATCCACAGCCATGCAAATGTGACATTTCCACCAATGGCTTAGCGCTTGAGCGGAGGGAACGCTTTAATGCTGTTATGTGCGTGTACGTGTTTTTTTTCGGTCGTAGTTTAGTGGTAGTTAATTGAAGGTGGAGGGGTTACAAGCCCCTCGCACCCATCCAGAGCCCCTATTTAGCCGCTGTGGTGGTCACAGATGCCATGAGGGGAAAGGCCAATTGGAATTGGCCCTCCCCCCACGGCCCTGTCCACGACAGCGTTGCCCGTCCGGCACCACGAGTACGTAGGGGGTTGTAGGGGGCAGTCGCCCTCCAACAACAACGGAGGGTGGAGGAGCGACGCTCACAACAACGAGCGGAGCGCCGGGTGTATAAAGCACAGCAGGTTGGCACAGTAGGGGGCACAGGTGGTGCATCAGCCAGTCGTCTAAGTCAGTCGACCTATGGCATCTGGGTCTGCCCCGTGACCTCCTGCCAGCGGGCGTTCGACACTTCACGTGGCCTCAAGGTGCACATAGCCTGGCACAAGTGTTGTGGTGACGTCACCGCCACTTAGTGGCAAATGGTGGTTGTTGTTGTAAGTGTGTGCGCGCGTGTATGTATGTGTGTGTATGGGGAGCGGTAATGTAGCGGTTAGCGCGCTGCACTACGAACCTGGCGAACAGGGTTCGATTCCCGCTCATGGCAAACACCAGTGACGATTATCTGAACCGGTCCTGGGCTTCCCCTAGGTCGACTCAGCCTAAAATAAGTATCTGGTGCGATGTGTAAACACCGCCGCTAGGGAGACAAAGGCGGCCGAGCGTGGTGTTGGCCATCCACCCCCCCTCGTGTGCCGTGCCAGCCTTTATAGATGCTTGCTAACAGCACTTGCCCCTACAGTCTGTTAAGGCTATATGGGGGATCTTTGTCGTGTGTGTGCGCATTGAAGATTTTTTTTTTCTAAAGGACAATTTATTTACCACAATGCAATCGTGACTTAACGAGCACTTTGATCATTGATTGCAATTTTTGATGACGTATCTTCTCATGCGTTTTTGCTATTTCAACGACAACCTGCATTTACAACGTGTCCCGCACCGATGAGATTTTGTCTTTAAGACCCCTTGAGCAAATAACTTCGGCGAGAGTACGAAAAATGCGAAATTGCAAACATGCACGAAGATCAAAGCTTCACCTTCTCATTACTTTCCGTCGAACTGCGTCAGTTGTCGACGTTAACCCTGTGTCGCGCTATGCTCCTGCCACTTGTTGACAGAGGCCCCCCCCCCCCCCCACTTCGAGAAGAGACGAGATACTCTTTGGTTCTTTCGGTAAAGTCACGTAGGTAGAAAATAACATAAATCACGACGTTTCGGGCGCAACACAAGCGTCCGTCGTCAGGTGGGAAAGAATGGCCTGCTGCATCAGCAGCTGCATGGGAAAGCATGGCCTGCTGCATCAGCAGCTGTATCAGTAGCAGGCCATGGGAAAGCATGGTCTGATGCATCAGCAGCTGCATCAGCAGCAGGCCATGGGAAAGCATGGTCTGATGCATCAGCAGCTGCATCAGCAGCAGGCCATGGGAAAGCATGGCCTGCTGCATCAGCAGCTGTGTCAGTAGCAGGCCATGGGAAAGCATGGTCTGATGCATCAGCAGCTGCATCAGCAGCAGGCCATGGGAAAGCATGGCCTGCTGCATCAGCAGCTGCATCAGCAGCAGGCCATGGCTTTCCCACCTGATGACTGACGCTTGTGTTGCGCCCGAAACGTCCTGATTCATTTTATTTTTCTACCTACGTGACTTTACCGAAAGAACCAAAGAGTATGGATTCCTGCAGTCACGAAAGCTTCAAATCAAGAGAGCAGATCTCTCCGTGGGTTCTTACCTTGTGAAAGTAAGACAATGATGACCATTATGTATGTACGCGGTCGTCCAAATACCGTCAGTTGTATCTGTAACAACACGTGTGAGTGGATGACACTGAACCGTAGGGATGGGTTGGCAACCGATATGCTGCACTTCTGGCCACTGACCGTACCTCGCAGTGATGCAGGTGGATGGCCACCGTCCCGTGATACACAAGAACAAACTACCCCTGCTCGTTTCCACGAGTTGCTGAGCGATCCTCAGCTAGCGGTGGACATTTTTTCCACATTGCTACGGCAGGCTCAGCGGTTGCAGAGGACGACAACCGACTGACCCGCGTGAAGTTGCCGTCAGGCCAATGTTACCGAGCGCACGCAGAGAGGAACGATGGCGCGCGTTGGACACCGGCGTGTTTTAAAGTGCGTTGCGTTGCTTGTCAGGAGACTGTTGCGATGCTGCTCTCGTTAGTAATGAGCGACATGTGTGTTCGTCCCTGCGTATGCTGTCACCTCACCTATCCACGCATTTATTCACGCATCCCTCTTTCCACCCATCCATCCATTAATGTCAATCAATTCATCTAAATTTTCACAATTCATACATTCGTGGCAACATTCCACCCATCCACATGCCCAATAATCCAATTGATGCACCCAATTGGCTGTCCATCCACCCTCTCATGTATCAATTCTTCCATTCACCTCTACATCCACGTACCCATCCCAACATCCATCAATTAATCAACATAAACGTATATCCACCCACTCATATACCCACCACCTATCCACCCACCCATATATTTAAACACCCATTCATCCGTCCACTAATCAACCCACCTATCCGCACGTCCATCCATTCAATGTTTGTGTTTATATTATTCCACCCGCCCACCATCTTACCTATCCACCCGCCCACCATCTCACCTACCCACCCGCCCACCATCTCACCTATCCACCCGCCCACCATCTCACCTATCCACCCGCTCACCATCTCACATATCCACCTGCCCACCATCCCACCTATCCACCTGCCCACCATCTCACCTATCCACCCGCTCACCATCTCACCTATCCACCCGCCCACCATCTCACCTACCCACCCGCCCACCATCTCACCTATCCACCTGCCCACCATCTCACCTATCCACCCGCCCACCATCCCACTAATCCACCCGCCCACCATCCCACCTATCCACCCGCCCACCATCCCACCTATCCACCCGCCCACCTAGTGGCCCACGTATCCATGCATCCACCCACTCATCCACCGCTCAATCAATCAATCAAACCATCCACAAATCAACCCGCATATCTGCCAATCATTCAGATCTGCACGCTGGAGTGCAGGTCAGGCCTCACGGTGGCGCAGTACTGGCGGGCGTGCCAGCTCTACTTGGGCCACGACGTGGGACCGGCGTGGGTGCAGTCGAGGTCGGCGCCCGGGGTGGCCGATCCGGACCCGCCAGGGGACGAGAGCGGCCCGGGCCCCGCGTCGCCGCAGCAGCTCGACAAGAAGTACGGGGGCTTCTTTCGCCGCGTGCGCTCCCTGTTCCCCCGGACCCCCTCGGCTCCTAGGACCCCTCTGACGGCGCCGCAGGCAGGCAGCTCCACTCCTTCCCTGGCGAGTGTGCTGGACGAAATCCGAAACTACCTGCAGACTCTGGACGGCTCCACGGCCTTGCAGCAGCAGCAGCAGCAGCAACTGAACGGCATCGTCCTCCCATCCGGCGCGGTGGACAAACGCTACGGGGGCTTTGGAAGGGGCCGCTTTCGAACCAAGAGGGGTCCCGATGGCCGCGACGACGGGGGCGACCTACGGTCCGAACGGGAACGCGCGGAGGAAGCGGAAGAGGAGGAGGAAGAGGAAGAAGAAGACGAAGAAGAGAGGGAGGGAAACGGAGACGAGTCAGCGGCGGAGGCGGCGGATGATGAGGAGGAGGATGATGAGGACGGTGGGCAGGGGGAGGACGGGGAGGTGGCAGGCGAGCGCACCGAGGGGCGGGCGGATGCGAAGACCGTGCAGAAACGATACGGGGGCTTCATGCGGAGGGTGGGACGGCCGCACAAAGCGTCGTGGGCCAACCAGAAGCGCTACGGGGGGTTCATGCGCCGCTTCTTCGGGGTCTCCATCCGCTCGGAGGACAGCGAAGGTCCCGCAGATAAGAGATTCAGCGCGTACGCTCGACGCCGGCTCGTGCAGCAGTGAGGATGAGAAGGAGACACGGGATTCGGGAGGAGGGGGAGGGGGGCCTGGGTCTGGCCCGGTGGCTCTGTTCCCATCCTCGCTCTTAGCTTTGGAATGTGGTCATCTCATCATGCTTTCCCTACACGGGCATCCACATAGTTTACATACATACACGCAACGCAGACACGCTGAATTACACATATATGGGTCGTGCGCTTGAAATGATTACAGTGTTAACGTGATTTCGACAACAAAAGGAGTTTTTTTTTTAAGTGAATCGTTTAAACTAAGATGGGTTTGCACTTACAGTTCGTTAGCTGACACTTGCTTTCTACACTTACTGCAAGAGGTGTGTGTGTGTGTGCGTGTGTTCGCGCGCGCGTGTGTGTGTTGTGGCCACGTATAGGTGTGTGTGTGTAGAAGTCCGTGTGTTCATATAGAGAGCAGCTTCCGATACCAACTCATGTCATGTACAAAGCGAACGTCAATTATCAATCGAGCATTAATGTGCATACAAAAAATAATCGTGAACATGCGGTGGTTATATCCTTGCATTTCGTGCTAACGTTTTGTCTGTACGATGTCATCCTCCGTGTGTATTATATATCGTCATGCAGGTGTACGTGTGTGGTGTCGTATTTTTATCGTACGATGCGAGAAACGACTGCGAAGGTTGATATTGTCTTAGTGAGTAGAGTTTAACAACCCCGACGCTAACAATGTGTTGGGGGTTGGGGGGGTGGGCTAACACGGGTCGCATGGAACCATACACGCTGGGTGTGTGTGCCTCAAAAAAGATGTTCCGAAAAGTTTCCCTTGTAATGGTATCTGGACCAAATGTTGTTGAGCATGCATATGTTGACTGCATACAGAAAGCATGCACTATATGTTACTTTTTTTTTTCAAAATAAAATTGTCCTGTTTACTCATGCAGTTACATACACCACGAACGCACGCACGCACGCCGGTGTAATACCTTTAAATTGAGGCCGCGCAATTGCGTGAAGACAAACACTTAGTGTTGAAAAGATTCGAGCAGGACCTGAAACAAACAAATTCAACTGCCAAGTCACAGTGTGTAATCTTACACGTGCGATGGAGCGGCTACGTATCTCATTGGCAGCCAAGTGGTGGAAATTACACATTCTCATGGCAGGGAACCCCAGTTAAAAAAAAAGAGGTCGACCACTCACTGTTGACTTTCTGCAAAGTGGTACTTGTTTTATCCGAGAGCTCAATGATGATGAGTCAATGAATAGCTTAATCCAACGATGCGCTTTTCAAAGTTTGCTTCGGAGTTTACTGTGTGCATTCTAATAAAGAGACCTCGTGGTATTTCTTCACGCAGGGTTAGGTCTGTTGCTGCAGAAGTGCAGCCCGATGATGGTCTAGTATCGGTACTCAGGATCATCATGCGATACTAAAAATTACATCCGTAAAAAATAAGCATTGCTTGAATGCAATTTCACATCCAATTATTCGTTTCGATTTTCCACCTGTTCATAATTGACAGTCCCTTGTCAATCCACTGCTGGATGTTCAGCGTGGCGTGGTGAAGCGATTGGAGGCGGGGGTGATGCCTACGGCCGATTCCGATGCCTCGCGCCTCCGATGCCTCGCCGTGCTTGAGACTCAAACTCAGGTGGCGGGCTTCTGAGATCAGTGCGCGAATCCCCGCGTCACCGCCGCAGCTCCACCACCTGCTAACGGGTTAAACGGGCGAACGTTTTAAACAGGAGTAGCGTCGTCAACAGGTACTCGTGTGCTTGGTAAACTCTTAATTCGTGTGTTTTAAACAGCGACCGGTCCCGTCTGAACATCTCTTCTGTCTGTCGATCCAAATCAGCTCAAGCCTCCCGTAAGACCACGTGAACCACGTTGTGGCCACCCCCCGGCTCTGGACCGCTCCCCCGTCTCTCCGCCTCCCTGCGAAAACACACACTGCCCCATGCAGCTCACTCCTGCTTCCATCTTTCGTCTCTCTCCCTCTCTCTTCCCTCCCCACCCTGCTCTCTCATCGTCTCCCTCTCAAGCCGGACATCTTGGACCCGATTGATTCCTTCTCCTCTTCCACCCCGTCTTTGCACGGCGCTCCGTCCGTCGTTATTCCTGGCTCCCTCGTCTTGAGCCGTGGCCTAATTGCCCCCTCTTGCGGACTTTCTTGCCCTGCATCCCTCCCCGAGCGCATCTTTCGCTGCCTGACATTCTGTCGCTTACTGACTCTGCTTCCACTTACCGTAGGTGCTGCGCCACGGATGCAAATGAAAAAAAAAGCGTTCATCTCCAACCATCTCATCCGGCCAACCCCGAGAATGACTCGTGTCATTCATGAGCTCATCTTAACTGGCGATGATTATTATTATTGTTGTTAGGTGAAGAAAAAACATGCACTGAAAGGGAAGTGTCCTGCGGCAACAGCAACAAAAAATCCACGGATGAGTAAGCCAGAACCACACACACACACACACCTGCAAAGAGACATCATCTTTATAACCTTACACAATTATCGTGTTCGCAGGATATTTAAGACGTTCCGGAAAATAAGACGCACCCAAAACGTGTTCCCCATGTCAATAAAGCTATACAAATCTGGTGGCACACACACACACCGTATTATAAGACGCACATAAAACGTTTGCTTTATGGTACATGATGTAGAAGGTGTGTGTGTGTGTGCGCGCGTCTTATAATCCAGAGAATACGTTAATATAGGACGACACGGACACGACAACAAACTGCATTAGATCTCACAAAGTCCACAAGGTGGCCGGTGTTGTGCAGGAATGTTGATGGGACCCTAACGATACTGGCAGTGCAACAACTCTGTGTGGCGTCTGGCAGTGTGCGATAGACTAACACGTGCGCAGTCCCTCTCTCGCATTGGTGATCGTTATGCATTACACATTTTGCATTGCTGTGTGGTGTTACCGCAGTATATATGAATGCACATCATGCCATCAGTCGCGACTGCATATATACAAGCAGTCTGGACAGCCTCAGCCTGCCTCATGTTATTTCTGGTGACCACATGCTGCCATGGTATACGTAGAATAGAGGTTTTGTTTTTGCAGCCAAGTCCAGTTTGATTTTTTTACCATTCGATGATGCTTTCAAATAAACCATATTGCAAGTCTACAAAATATACGAGATACGGCGAGCTGCCTCGTGCATGATAGGGCAACACGTGACTTGTGTTCACACACTGAAACACATGTGTCACGTGTTCACACACTGAAACACACGTGTCACGTGTTCACACGCTGAGACACACGTGTCACGTGTTCACACACTGAGACACACGTGTCACGTGTTCACACACTGAAACACACGTGTCACGTGTTCACACACTGAGACACACGTGTCACGTGTTCACACACTGAAACACACGAGTCACGTGTTCACACACTGAAACACACGTGTCACGTGTTCACACACTGAGACACACGTGTCACGTGTTCACACACTGAAACACACGTGACTTGTGTTCACACACTGAAACACACGTGTCACGTGTTCACACACTGAAACACACGTGTCACGTGTTCACACACTGAGACACACGTGTCACGTGTTCACACACTGAGACACACGTGTCACGTGTTCACACACTGAGACACACGTGTCACGTGTTCACACACTGAAACACACGAGTCACGTGTTCACACACTGAGACACACGTGACTTGTGTTCACACACTGAAACACACGAGTCACGTGTTCACACACTGAGACACACGTGACTTGTGTTCACACACTGAGACACACGTGTCACGTGTTCACACACTGAAACACGCGAGTCACGTGTTCACACACTGAAACACACGAGTCACGTGTTCACACACTGAGACACACGTGACTTGTGTTCACACACTGAGACACACGTGTCACGTGTTCACACACTGAAACACACGTGTCACGTGTTCACACACTGAGACACACGTGTCACGTGTTCACACACTGAGACACACGTGTCACGTGTTCACACACTGAGACACACGTATCACGTGTTCACACACTGAGACACACGTGTCACGTGTTCACACACTGAGACACACGTGTCACGTGTTCACACACTGAAACACACGTGACTTGTATCCCACTTTATTCTGGCGCCTCCAGTCAGAAGGTTGCGAGCTTCAAATTCCGACCCGGGATTTGCGCTCAACCCATCATCACTCGAGGGACAATGCGATTAGCAGCACGCTTGAAGTTGTCAACATTGGTTGTCCGACGGGAAAACTCTCTCCGCCATGCTACCGTGGAATTCCCCCCTCCCCCCCCTCCAACAGAGATGAGTGCCTCTCCCACCGCTCCTTGAAAGCAGCGTGACGATTCGACTGCGCCTCGACCGTGATCGCTTACGGAGACCACGCGGCACGCGTTGGGAGTTTTGGACGGCTGTGGTTCTTCCATGAACGCACCCGGCTTCCTTTGTGAAACAATTACGTTACTTAACAATTGATAAGCATTCGCTTAGGCGGCGCCTTCAACGAGGCCCGCGCGTGATTTATCACGAAGCGGCGTTCAGAGCAAGAGGCACAGAAATTAGCACTTAATGTGAGCTCTTATAACGGGTTGGCAAGAGCTGCTTTAAAAGGGGCTTTAAATTAGTGGCTTTTAAATTAGAGACATTCCCCCCTTGGGAGAGCTGGGAATGGAGGGCTTGAGATTTGTGGGTGGCGGTGTGAAGGAGCGTGGGGAGTTGTGGCGTTGTGCCGAGCGTGTCGCGCTGCGAATCTGGCCACCCGCGTTCGATTCCCGCTCACGGCCAGCACCAGTGATTGATTATCTGAACGTGTCCTGACCTCCCCGAGGTAGACTTATGCTAAAATGAGCACGTGGTGTTTAAACATCGCCATGAGGGATACGAATGCCGCCCAATGCCATCGTGTGCCGTGTCGACCTTCATAGGTGAGCTCGCTGTCCGCACTTGCCCCAAAAGTCTCTGCAGGAGGGGATCACCTTTAGCCGTGTCTATGAAAAATAATGCATGCGTATAGGACAAAAGCAAACCACGTCAATAATTATTGTGTGTGTGTTTTTATAATATACTTATTTGTGAAGAAAATGAATTTTAGGTCACGTTTTTTGATAGATTCCACGGGTAGCGACAGCCTCTCACGTTTGCCGAGGCGTTCTCAATCTCGGACTTCTGACGATTTCCCCACAGGCCAAATTTCCACTTAAAACCCTTGGCAGATGTTTCACCCACCCCCTCCCCCCCCCATGTGCGATTGCCTTATTTGCATTCGAATGAAGAATATTGCTCGAGAAGGGCAACTTATTGACGAACACGGAAATCGACGAGCGATGCAATTTTAGAATCACAGAAGTGGACGCACATGTGCGGGAATGCAAAGGACCCCTGCAGGAATTGACGGCAAGGATTGATTAGATAGCAGGGGTGTAAACGTTCCAAAGAAGACTCGTGGTGGAAAATGCCCCAGAGTTGTGAGATGTTTAGAAAAAAAAACAATGGCCTAATGTGCAGCCATCTCTATGACCAAATTATTCGGATTATAGGGCACTCCGAAAAGTCAGATGGATTCGAAATGTGTCATTATCATCACGATCAGATAGCCCGGAGATGTCCACTGCACATTTCCTCATTTGTTTCCACTTTCATCTCTGTCTTGTGCCAACATGCTCAGGGAGTGCCGCGTCTTTCTGGCACCAATCTCTTATTTCGTCGTCAAGCCATGCTCTCTTAAGCCTTCCCCTCTTTACGGTTCCTCGCATTATTCCGAGAACAGTACACTTTTAATTGTCCTGTTGGTGTCCATCGTAAACATGTGTACAAATAGTGCCAGTTTTCATTACTGCCTCCATCAGATATTCTTCGATGTGCAGGCCTCTTCTCGCGCCTACGTTGGTCACTCTTTGGGTCCAGCTTAGATGCACTATCCTTCTGTAGGAATACATTTCCAATATCGTGTCCGTCAGTCTTTTTTAATGTCCAACTCTCGCAGGCATACAAAGCTGCACTGAACACGCATGTTCTTAAGATGTTCAGTTTTGTGCTAGACGTGTGTCTTGTGTCAATAATGTTATGCAAATATGGTCACACACAAAACACCCACAACTTTTGCTGTAAAAGATTGTACACGAAAAAAAGTGCGTCTTATAATCCGGAGAATACGATAAAAGTCCCAACACCTTGTCGAGGCTCAGCTTCCACTCAACTAAAATGGGCAAAACTGCAAGCCTGCACACATAAGTTAACATCCACGTGTTATACCTATGGGTGCATGGTAAACTAAACTAAAACGAAACTTTTATTTTTATTTTATCAGGTAAAGCCCACTGAACTATATAGCTTCTTTTTCAGAAGTGACCTGGCCACAAATGATAGCTCAACGAAGTGGCTTATGGCGTTGATTCTATATGTGGAGAGATAAAACGGAGGGCCCGAAGAAAAATCCACACGACCACGGGAAGAGAGACACACAAACTCCAAATATACAGCAGGCGTCAGGGTCGAGATCGAAACTCCTGTATACCATGCGAGGAAATTAACATCTCGTCCTAGGATGGAGGAGATGGGACATGCGTTGGACTGGCAATCATGGGGAAGACCTGGAAGCAGATGGTGATGATAATTACTTGGAGACCCTTCGGAAATGACAGCCGCATGCACACCCTGTGCTCGCGAAGGTTCGAAACCCCCGAGGAGCTACACCCACCATGACGTGTCTCACAATGCCGATGACATCTACAAGCCTCGCCCATCAGCTCCGTCCACCAGCACTCGTGGGAACAGAGGTCAGACCTTATTGTCGAACTGTTTTCATATTATCACATTAGTCGGGTAATCACACTGAAAATTGGTAATCACTCCCTTAAATAATCGCATATCCGAGTTCTAATTTTGCTCCGTTACATTAGCCTATGGAAATGCTCGCTTTCATCATTGGAATGTGTCATTTCCATTTGTTGCTCAGTGCTGCCTTTGCAGAAAATAGCAATGACCTACGCTCATTTGCGCATACGCTTTGGAATGTTTTTATTTCACGGTGAACAATTTAACGCATTTATACAGATCTACGCGCGTAGGGTATAGGGTGGTGTCAGAGCCCCACGTGGAGTGAAAGGCATTCCTTGTGATGGTGTTTAACGCTCGGCCATGACCAGGTTGAGGTGCAGATTTTGGTGCCCTCCTCTCGAGGATAGTGCAGCTTATCAGCCACATGTGAGCCCCGAGACAAAAAGGCCTTTAACCCCATGCAGACCTCTTTCTTACCACACCCTACCCAATCATAATAACAGTGCCGATCCTTGGTTGTCAATCGACTCACTGAATGAAGGGCTCGCCATCAGCCACGCCGACCGTGGGAATTGTTTGCCTGTACATCATCGTGCTGCTGGTCTGTGTGGGTTAAATGGTGATGGAGGAGGGGGACATCTCAGATATATTTCGCCGCTGAAGTTAGCCGTGTCGAGGAATAACAAACAAAATCTCAGATATTTGGGTCCATAACAACACAGCGCTAACCACTCCGCCACCCAGGCATACACTAATATAACATACTCAAATTTAAAAAAAAAACGGAATTCAGAAAAAAAAAGTTTAGCTGGCTGGATTCCTGGCTGTCTGCCTGGATTCCTGGCTGTCGCGCTCAGGTACGGGTATACCTGCGTGATGACGTCACTCGCATTCCACAGCGTGGAGCCGGGTTCGTGCGTTGCGTCTCCGCCACCCACCCTCCAACCCTGCACGGCGCCCACGTGTTGAGAGCGACAGAGGAGGCAGGTGAACGAGGGAGATGGAGGGAGGAAGAGACAGAGTGGAACGGAGGGCACGGCTGGGGGAGAGTGAAAGGGTTGTGATAGGGTGAGGAAAAAGAGAGAGAGAGAAAGGAATAAGCAGTGGGGTGGGGGAGGAGGGGTTAGGGCGAGTCAAGAAAGATTGAGAGAATAAGGAGAGCGAGGGGTGTGAGAGAATGAGAGAGAAACAGGGAGAGAGAGATGGGGGAGGCATTCGGGTGAGATACAGTGGAGGGAGGAGATGAGCACAGAGGGAGGGTGAGGTAGAAGAGGGGACAGATGAACAGAGAAAGCGATCGAGACGGAGCGGGACATCGAGGTGCATTGTGACAAACCGTACAGAGGAGGCAAAGAAGGCTGGAGACATTAATAAAATGCTGGCTG